GTTTTATATGTTAACTACATTAAAAAATTCATAACATAACAAGAATTATAGTAGAAGATGAGTCCAGAGATAGTTTATTTAAGCACTTATTTAAAAAAGTATATTACAAATAAAGTAAATTATTATGATTAAACTGATAGGCAAATATATTGTAATCTGCTTCTTCCCATGGTTGCCAAGATGCCTTGATCATGTCCTATATAACATGTTTGGTTATAATCGTGAGAATGCTGTCATAACAACATGTTAATTTAACAACAAAGCCAGCCTGTCGGCAAACGATACTCACTCGTAATACCGAACGACTTCGAACGCTTGTTAGTAAACCATTATTAATTTATTGGTAAGAAAGAATTCGAACCGACATCACCTTCTGTAATTGGTCTTGTTCAAACAATGTTTAACACATTTTTAAATGTGTGATTTAACGTTAAACTGATGGCTATCAACCTTGAATTGATTTGATGTTCCGTCATCGCTGTTCGCGGTCTGTCTGTCTTTTTTAATTAAATTATTATTTTTAATGTTGTGTCACGAGATGACGCAAATGTTCCATTTTTTTAAATATTTGAAGCCGTAAATCTGTGTTTTATCTCTCTTCGGATCGTACTCTTAGGCGACTCCCTTGTTAAATCACTTTCTTTCTACTATTTCTTTCTTTGTGGAGGGCCTGGTGAACTGGTATCTGGATCAAATTTCGGCTGACCATCTTTATGGGCTGCAGCTTTATGATCGTTTGCCATCAACCTTGTCTGTGTGTTTTATAATAAAACATTTTTCGTTTTAGATTTTACGAAAAGTAGGGTAGATGATTAGTGCTCTGACCCAATTTTGGTCATTTGGCAGTCCAGGAATAAATATACGTTTACGTTACATACACAAAAACGGACACAATGAAACTGTCCCCCGTTAATGACCAGTGATCATTCCATCGACTAAGTGATAAAATAATTACTGATCAGCTCCCTTATTATGTAACTTCGAGGACAAAGGAAATAAATTTTTAACAAAGCACTATGGCAAGCGGTCATCGTGCATTATTGGTATTCTGTAACACATTTGTATTAAATCACTAATCCCTAGTCAATTGCTATAAGTACGTAAAAGGTTTTTTTAAATTTAGATCAATTCGCTTATTGAGGTTCACTTTCATGGTAAGTAATACTTATAGAATACGAACAGTTTATCGATACAAGATCAAGTTTTAAAATGAAGTGTAGTAAAGTTGGCCGATATTGACATTTTTAAATTGTAAAACACTAATAGGAAATACGAGTGATTTTGAAACAATGGAATTGGTGAATGAATCGGTGATTACGATTTAAGTTTGGCAGTTAGCGAATAGGCCTGCGTGTTAAAGCGATCTACCTACTTAAACGGATAGGAATGGTACCCAAGTTATTCACAGCTTGGAAAATATTAATTTAGATAAAATTAGATCAAACATTTTCTGGACTTTGGAAACATTTTTAATTGTATATATAAAGATTATAACAAAAAAAAATGAAGCAACTTCATAATCATAATAAGTACAAACTTTATAATTTTATCTTATATCTTTATTTCTCTCTGATTTAATTTATAAGGAAGGGCTATGCTGCCGCAATGGGAACATTAACATATTGATAATTATAAACGTGAGTAGCTCGGTGGCGTAGTGGATAAACGCCTCGACCCTCGATCGTTGTCAAACAACTTTCGCAAAGGTCTGTCACGGGATGGGTGACCAAAATATTATTGTCTCGAGGTATTTTGTGCTTCGAAAGGCATATTAAGCCGTTCGTCTAAGCTGCATTTAAAGTCATTAATACACACAATCCGCATCGGGCCAGAGTGGAGGGTTATTGGATCATCCTCCTTGATCATAAATAAAGAAAGTCTGAGCCCTTACGGGGCTGATGATGAATATTATAAAAGTATCTAAACTTTTTATATCTATGAAATACATTAAATTAAACTAGTTTCTTTCGTTGCTTGTAGCATTGCATCTGGAACCGTAATAGCATTTCATAATATAAACCTGTTTTGTATGTGAGGTTTCGTACAACAACATACTATGCCGTATTATATTATCCGCGGTTTGTTATCGTTAGATATTGCATTATTGTTCTATATATGCCCTTCGCATAATTCATTAGCAATCGTATATATTTTTCTCACTCAAGATATAACTAAACCAGAGGTCAACGCTAAAGGGAACGGTGAGAATTATCCATTGTTTTTTTTTTGTTTTAGGTTCTACGACCTCAAATGAATTGACTCGAAAACTTCTCAAAGAGATTGTCTTAGCTAAATCAGAATGTAAAAGCAAATATATATTAATGAACTCTGGGAACTATTGAATCAATTATGTAGAGCGGTTCTCGGTATCAAAAGCTACAATTATCATTCCGACAAAAGATGTTGAAACCAATTAATCGATGGAGTATGTACGATTTTGTATACATTTCTTACCGTAAAAGGATTGTGAACGTATAACTTGTTTTAAACAACAATTCAATTCGGAATGTAATTAATTTATATTTATTGGGTGAACTTGATCTTTTATTACTAAACATTTTGGAATATTTTGGTTGACAGGTTATCATATTAATTAACATTATCATACACATCATCACCAGCCCTTTATGTCCCCACTGCAGGGGCTCAGGCCTTCCTTATGGATGGTTAAGGAGGATGGGCCATGACCCTCCAAGCTGGCCCAATGCGTATTGAAGGGTATTAACGACTGCAAATGCAGCCGGGACCAACGGCTTAACGTGCCTTCCGAAACACGGAGTAGCTTGAGATAATAATTTTTTTGGTCACCCATCCCGTGACCGACCCTTGCGAAAGTTGCTTAACGACAACGATCGCGGGCCGCGGCGCTTATCCACTACGCCACTGAGCTACTGCTAGCTACATTATCATACAAGTCTTATTAATCTAATTATGCCTACATATAACTTTATATTAATCTTGTTTCATTATCATTGAGTATATCTAATTATAACACTCAACCTGCTCATTTACTTATGCCTTGAACGTAAGTAGCTTGATGGCGTAACGGTTAACACATTTGGTCTGCAATGTTGGAGGTTAAGCAACTGTTGCTAATGCTGGTCATAGGATGGGTGACCGAAATTCATTATTTTAAACTGCTCTATGCTTTGGAAGGAACGTTAAACTGAAGATCGTAGCTGTATCCTTGAAACTCGCATATCCGCTTTGGGCCCGGGTCATGACTAGTGTTGCCAGGTCCAATTTATTATTAATCGGGACAGCGCGTGTAATTAATCGGGATTTGGGGTTGTAAATCGGGACAGACAAAAAAGAAGTACTTTTTTTTATTTTTTATAATAATAACACAAAATAATCATAAATAACAAGATAAACAATAAAATAATATTAATTTACGTACATTTGACCTTGAAAGAAAGAATAGAAGTACCTACACAACAGCTTCTGTACTAATATAATCACACTGACCCGGAAAAAAACTGCAAATACATTTTAGTAATTTTAAGGATTGATAAAGATGTTATTGTGTAAAAAATTGTTTAACTAATTCTACATAAGTTCACATATAAAATATAATATATGGTATATTTCAAAGGAAATACAGAGGTATCAAATAGCTTATTTATTATACTAATAGCTTATTAACTAATTATATCATAATAATCAGACTTATTATAGAATTGGTTTATGATAGTTAAATTGACTAGTTTAACTAATTAATTGATAATTTAATTATTTATTCAGTTTTAAATAAGTAAATTTTGATAGTAATAGTGAATATGCATCATAGTTAATATATGGCAGTGATATCTTAGTGAAAAATTACATTTGTGTTGAGTAATCATCGTAACAAACTGCAACAATCTGTCAACGGTCTGGAAGATTTTTGAATCAGCTGTTCAAAACTAATAACAATAAAATTATTTGGACTTCTACTTCTGAAACCTGGGGAGTATTGTTTTTCATATGTTTACAATATACACACATTGATTATCACGGTTATTCTTTTGGTTTTGTTACAATTGAATTCCATATTATTTCATTTTTTTTTCTTGACACCTATCATATATTGTCAAGATTTAAAGTCATTTGCAAATCCTAATAACATTTGTGGATTCAGTAATTAATCGTTCTTTGTAATACATTTAACTTAATACTTCCAAATAAGGTTTTTTTTTTTGTGTGACATTTCTGGTTTCTCAATACCTTCAGTTTCAAATTTATCATAACACTTATCAGAACTCACGATTAGTGAGCAACGTCACAAATCATAACAGTTTGGTACTGTTAACCTCTCTTTACTTGACATAAAGTGGAAGTAAAGTTGATGGTGACCGAGTTGCCACAGACATTCATTACTACTATTCTTTACAAAATATATACTTGCATAATTTAAACATTTCACATTAATCACAGCTGAGAAACTCATTTATTGTTTATTGTTTATGATTAGATTTACTTATTCCAGTATATCATTGTTGCACACACTTTTAATTAGAATTAATTGTAGAAGAAATTATTATTATTCAGGATTTAGATTCAAAAAATGTACTAAGATTATAATAAGTTACATCTTTTTGATGCTAGTGTATGGACATTGGACAAGTCACTGCTGTAAATGATAACATTGTAATAATAAATATAGATTAAATTGTATAAGAAAAAGCAATTATAAGTTATTGTATGAGAAGAGTACACATGTATATTAGGTTCATCATTATAACTAATTGGTGATTGAATATTAAAGTGACACTTTTTTTATTTTTTTGATATATTTTGTTAAACTTAAGTGCATAAATAATTAGTATAATTATTATTTGTCTACCCACCTGTTCAATATTATTAAACTTGAAATCAATTTTCTCATCTTTACTGATAAATAAGATTCTTAAATAGAATAGAGTTGGTTAATTGTGAAACTTTTTAACTATCCAATTTTACAAATTGTTTTTTTTTTTTTGTTTTTAGTAAAGGAGAATATATAATATTTCCAACCAAAAATGATGACTCGCAAAGCTTCAGCACAAAACACCGAATTCAAATTAAGGCAAACATTAGAAGAACTGAAGCGGTCTAAAGAAACATGTGATCAGCTGCTCCGAGAACGTGAGGAGAGTGAAGAAGAAATAAAGAAAATTATTGCAAAAAATTCACAATTGAAGAGTGAGCTCGCTGAACTGCACTCTCAACATGAAGAAGTGCTTTATCAACGTGAACAACTACACAACACCCTCAGTAGTTGTAGCAAGGAATTTGACACATATGAGAGGGCTCTGCAACGCATAGATGACCTAGAACAAGAACTTCGTGTAGCGAACTGTCAAATAAATCAATATGCGGAAACTCAACAACTGCAGGAGACTCAACATACTCAAAGCCTCTTCGAGGAGCTCATGGCATCACCTGGAACACCCCTCACCCCACAATGTTTAATTTCTACCAATAGAGAAGTAACCCACCACCCACTAAGTATAAAAAAAGTTAAAAAATATGTACGAATTAGTAAATTTATTAAAAGAACAGAAAAAATTATTAAAAGAAACCAAGGCTATCATAGAAACATTACTCTTAGAAAAGAAAAAGATAGTTTATTAGACTCACTAGAAATTTACAGTTCAAAATTGAATGAGAGTAGGCAAATGTATGACCGGGATACTAAACAATTACATCTAGAAATTCAGAACTTGCATGCTTCTTTGGAAAATATGGAGAAAAAATACCTAAGTGCACAAAAACAAATAACTGAACATATCATGTCAGCTACTGAGTTAGTTGATCTTTGCAATTATAATGCTGAAAGATATGACTCTTTATTAAAAAATCAATTAATCGGTTCTAGAAATGAGTCTTCTATACCGGCATTATCTAGTAACACACAGAGTGTGATTGAACAAGATCTCAGTCATTCATCTGCTATTTCACAATCCATAAGTACAACTTACAATACAATTCCTTTCAGACCAGTGGTGTCAAATAATTTAAATAACAGTAAAACAATTATGTTTTCTGACGGTCTAGGACAGGGAATGGGGTTAACAATTAAAAGTAAATATGACCAAAACTTTATAAATATATGTACTCCAGGACAATCGCTAAATAACATTGTTAATAAAATTAAACCACAAGAATTGGATAGTTTCACTAACATTATTATTTTATGTGGTGACAGTACCTTAACTTCAACACGGGACATTTTGATTAATATTAAAAAGTTGCTAAAAATTCAATCGGAAACAAATTGTAAAATGATAATTAGTGCTTATCCTTATGTGCATAACTACACTAAAGAACAAAATGAACGCATATATAAATTAAATTTAAATATCTATAATTTGATATCTCATCATAGCGATGATATTTTATACTTTGACATTAACAAATATATTAGTAAATTTAAGTTGACAATAGATACTATGTACCTAGCAAAGTTATATAGGACTCGGATAGCTACTCTGTTAGCTTTCAATTTAAAAAATTCTGTTATAGTTGATATAACAAAGTCTCATTACTGTGTTAGTAATTCTACTAACGTAAATAGTACTATACCCATTTCCAACTCAGTTTTAAACTAAAGGGTAAGACAACAGTCAAATCTACTAATTTTAATATTATTCATCAAAATATTCAGGGTTTGGCTGGCAAAGATTTAGAATTAGAATTATTTGCAAAAGAACATGATGTTCATATATATTGTTTAACGGAGCATTGGCTGAGGCCTTGTGAAAAGTCATTTCATTTAAAAAAATTTCAAATGCTTAGTTCATATACACGTAGGAGAGCCCAGCGGGGAGGATCATTAATATTTGTAAATAATAATTTCAAGTTTAAGGAGCGTAAAGATATAGTGAATCTTTCAGTTGAACGTCATATTGAGCTATCTTGTGTGGAGCTAAATAGTATGATTGTAGTATGTGTATACCGACCCCCTGATAGTGACTATGGAACTTTTGAATCTGTGATGGAAGATGCACTTAGGAAATTACAGACAAAGAACAAATATTTGGTTGTATGTGGTGATTTTAATGTAGATCTTCTAGTGAACAGTTCAACATCCGTTCGTTTGCTATCATTATTTAAATGCTTCAATCTTTTTAATCAATTTCTTGAACCTACTAGAGTAACGGCACATTCAGCCACTTGTTTGGATAATGTATATTCTGATTATGATCCGATTAATAAACTTGTATTCAACGATCTTACATCTGACCATTACGGACTAAAGACGACATATAGGATTAATATCACTAATGAGCCAAAAATGATTAAGTGTAGACCAATTACTAAGATACGCCTAGATAATTTTAAAAATAACATAGATGAGAAACTAATTGAGATGGTATGGCCAAATGATGGTCCTGATGATCTTTATAGTAATCTTTTCTGCCTTATAAAAAATGAATTCGAAAAGGCTTTTCCGTGTAAGACCGTAAAAGTTACACAGAAGTTACAGTTCTGTGACTGGGCTACAACAGGTATTTATAAAAGTAGAAACAAACTTTATGAATTATACGCTTTAAGAAAATATAACCATAATCAAAATTTCATTGATTACGTGAAGAATTATTCGAAAGTATTTAAAAGGGTGTGTTTTGCGGCAAAGTCAAATTTTATTAAAGAGAAAATAAAGAATTCCAATAATAAAGTCAAAACAACTTGGAATATAATAAACCGTGAAACCGGTAAGGAGCAAATACGTGAAGATATTCTGACACTTAACTTTAATAACACGACCATCAAATCTCATGATAAAATTGCTAATATCTTTGATGAGTATTTTTTAAACATACCTATTGAAACAACATCTGGTTTAAATTCTTCACCAACTGCCGCAAAGGCTATTTTAGAAAAATACGTGCCTAAGGTAGACAGCCAGTTTAAATTTAAATATATTAGTTTCTTAGATATTATTAAAACTTTTAATTGTCTGAAAATAAAAAACACATGTGATTTATGGGGCATATCTCTTAATATTATTAAAAGTATAGTTCATGTTATAGCCCCTTACTTGGCTGATATATTTAATCTTTGTATAGATGAAGGAATTTTTCCAAATCTTATGAAGCTAAGCAAAGTTATACCTCTTTTTAAATCCGGAAATAGGGAAGACCATAGTAATTATAGACCTATATCAATATTACCGACGTTAAGTAAAATCTTTGAAAAAATAATTCTTGAACAGTTATTGTCTTATTTTAATTTAAATAAATTACTGCATACTAAACAATATGGTTTCACAAAAGGTCGCTCTACTGCTGATGCTGGTATAGCACTTCTTAAACATATATTCAGAGCTTGGGAGGCGTCACAGAATGCTCTTGGAGTATTTTGTGACTTATCCAAAGCATTTGATTGCGTTGAGCATCGAACACTAGTAACGAAGCTAAATTACTATGGTATCAAAGATTCCGCCCTACAACTAATATTGTCGTACCTCAGTTGCAGAACTCAAACTATCGATATTAACGGTGTGAGATCATCTGGATCACAAGTAAAAATGGGAGTTCCCCAGGGATCTATTCTGGGTCCCTTTCTGTTTCTAACTTACATAAATGATTTGCCATTTTTTGCCGAAACTTTATGCGATATAGTATTGTTTGCAGATGATACTTCTTTAATATTTAATATTGATAGATGTAAAAATAATTTTGACGATGTAAACAATGCTCTATCACAGATTATGACCTGGTTTACTGTAAATAATCTCCAGTTAAATGCTAAAAAAACGAAATGTATAAAGTTTATGTTACCTAATGTAAAAGCTGAACTTACAGAAATTAAACTTAATAATGAAAAGCTCGAGTTGGTTGATTCAACAATCTTCTTAGGTGTAACGCTGGATTCTAAATTGCAATGGCATCCTCACATTTCATTATTGGCAGGAAAACTAAGTTCAGCTGCCTTTGCAATAAAAAAAATTAGGCAACTTACAGATGTAGATACCGCTAGGACAGTATACTTTAGTTATTTCCATAGCGTTATGTCATATGGCATTCTGATGTGGGGTATGGCTGCAGATATAGAGTCTATATTTATTTTACAAAAAAGAGCAGTAAGGGCCATTTATCAATTGGGTTCAAGAACGTCACTTAGAGATAAATTCAAAGAAATTGGGATATTAACAGTGGCCTCCCAATTCATATATAATTGTATACTTTATGTTAGAAACAATATAAACAATTATATTAAACATAGTCATGTACACAATTTTAATACTAGAAACAAAGATAAACTTGTTTTGCCGTCATGCAGGCTAAAGAAGGTTCTATCGTCATTTATGGGTCAAGGTGTACACTACTATAACAAAATTCCTATGGAAATTTTAAATTTACCATTACCTAAGTTTAAAACCCATGTTAAGAATTGTCTACTCAGTAAAGGATATTATACTATTAATGAATATTTAAACGACAAAACTACTTGGAGTTAAATATGGCTCATTTTTCATATATATTAAATTGTTAATCGGTGAGCTTCTTTGGCTACAAATGTGATTGGATTGACGAAAATACTGTTTTACTCTTAATATTGTGTTATATTGTAATGGAAAGTGACTTCAAATTTTAATGAAGTCATTTTTCAATCTTGACGCTCTGTATGAAATAAAACAGGGAGAAAAAAGCAGCCCTTGCCGAGTTTCTTGCCGGTTCTTCTCGGTACAAGGTCTCCCGCCGTAGATTTACGAACCGTTGGCGTAGCTCTCGACTTTCACAAGTGCTTGTAACAGCCTAGACTGAATAAATGATTTTGGCCCCTATTGACGGCAATCGTAAGGCTGAAACATTACATCATCTTTCAAGTCTACCAACTCTTGATTCTCCATTTTTCCTTCGCCAATTTGCGGACTGTGATGTCGAGAGAACTATCTTGTCGATCAATTCCAGTGCAGTGGGTAGTGATTCCATTAGTCGCAAAATGATCCTACCTCTAATTCATATCCTGTCCCCGATAATAACTAAGATTCTGAATACTTCAATCTCATCTGGAGTTTTTCCTTCATCTTGGAAAGATGCAAATCTAATTCCTCTCCCAAAAAAGGCAAACCCATCATCGTTTTCTGAATACCGTCCTATTTCCATTCTTCCATTTCTCTCCAAAGTCCTTGAAAAACTTGTAAACCATCAGTTACTGGCTTTTCTTAATTCAAACCACCTTCTTAATCCATTTCAATCCGGCTTTCGTACTGGCCATAGCACTACTACTGCATTGGTAAAGATTACTGATGATATTCGACGAGGGATGGAAAATCGTCAGCTTACGTTGTTGACGTTGTTAGATTTTAGCAATGCCTTCAATACGGTTGATTTTGACATCCTTCTCGGTGTTATGACTTCTCTCAACATATCTCCAGCTGCAATTGCCTGGTTTCGAAGTTACCTGCTAGGACGCCGGCAGAGGATCCACATTGACGAGTCCGTCTCTACGTGGTGCGATATCAAAGCTGGCGTTCCTCAGGGTGGCGTCTTATCTCCTCTTCTCTTCTCTATATTTATAAATTCCATAACTGAATTACTTTCTTGTTCCTATCACCTCTATGCCGATGACCTTCAAATTTATACCCAAGCGCCTTTTTCGCACTTATCAGAGGCAGTCTCAGTAATAAACTCTGACCTGTCTCGCATTAGTAAATGGTGTGATTCATTCGGTCTTACTGTGAACCCCTCTAAAACTCAAGCGATTCTAATTGGCAGTTCTCATTACATTTCTAGAGTTAGTTCTGAGTTGCTACCTTCAGTAATTTTCAACGGATTTGTAATTCCCTATTCAAAAACAGTTAGAAACCTTGGCGTCATCTTCGATCAAAATCTTTCTTGGAAGCCGCAGGTGGAGGCCGTTAGAAAAAAGGTATTTGCCACGTACTATTCACTAAATAGACTACGCAACTTTTTGTCTACTAGAACTAAAGTCTCTTTAGCGTATTCGTTATTATTATCGATCATAGACTACACTGATGTTTGTTACACGGATCTATCAGAGGAACTTCTTAACAAATTGGAGCGTCTGCAGAATATTTGTATCCGATTCATTTTCAACCTTCGTAAATTTGACCATGTGTCGAATTTTCGTTCCAGATTATCTTGGCTCCCTATTCGCCGGCGCAGGGACTTACATACTTTAAAGTTACTATATTCTATACTTTTCCTACCTTCCTCTCCACATTATCTCAAACAATGTTTCTCTTTTCGTTCTTCTTTGTCACTGAGTTCCTTGCGATCCTCATCCAACCTCACTTTGGACATCCCGCGTCATACTTCCGATTTCTTCTCCTATTCCTTTTCTGTACATGCTGTGCGTTTATGGAATTCTCTCCCGGAGGATGTCAGGAACAGTCGCTCTCTAAATTCTTTCGGCGATCGAGTTGAAAGCTATTTCCTTTCTCTATGCTAATGCTATTTACTTATACTTTCTTATTTAAAATGTATGTAATATATGTGTAAGATATATCTTATCCCTTCTGACTATTGCACCCAATACCCCATATTTTCCCTTTCCTTTTATTATTCTCCTCCATAGGTTGCCTGGAAGAGATCGCTGTTTAGCGATAAGGCCGCCTTTTGTGTACTCTGTATTGTTT